ACCAGCCAAAAAACTGGGGTGTGGATCGCCGGCACAGTGGTCTGGGGTTCCCCCTTTCCCCTTCTGGGGAAGGGGGAGCTGTGCAGACATGTGGTGTGGCTCGTGTGACGTCAGGCTTATTTGCTCGTTTTCATTTGGGGATTTCTGTCCACTTGTTTGTCTATTTTCGGCATTTTTAACCAGAATAGGGGTTTATTTTTGGGCGCTTACCTTTCTGGGTGCCTGTCCCAGTCGATAGCAGATATAAAAGGCTCCAAATCACATGTGCATTTCTCTAGGCCATTGCTTCTAGTGCCTCTTTGAGTAGGCCAGGTTCTGGCTCGTGGTCCATGGTACGCCTAGAACTCCACCCACATCAACTGATGTCAAAGTTAGGGATGATCATATCAGCCTGGATAACTCCGGGAAGCCATTGGCGCTCTCCCCAGAAAAGCCAATCAAACTCTAGGAATACGCAAGCATACCTTTAAGGAAAAAACCAGCGTTGAATGTAATGAAACGCCATTTTCTGGGTGAGTCCCAGAGGCTCCCCGGAGCTATCCCAGGCTGATATGCTAATGTCAGACTTTGGCATCAGTCATGTGTATGGAGTTCTTTGGCCTACCGGGGACCACGGCCAGAACCGGGCCCCCTCAGAGAAGCAAGGAGAGCAATGGCCTATAGAAGCCCCCGTGTGGTTGGAAGCATTCTATGTCTGCCATCGACCGGAACAGGCACCCAGAAAGGTAAGCGCCTCAAAACAAACCCCCTATTCTGGTTAAAATTGCTATCAAAAGCCGAACTAGTGGATAGAACTCCCCAACCGAAAACAAGCAAACTAGTGTGACATCACACACCGCCGCGCCGCTGTCTGTGCAGCTCCCCCCTCCCCGGGAGGGGGAAGGGGGAGCTCCAGACCCTCCACGCCAGCTACCCACACCTAGTTCTTGAGGCTGGATGTAAAAAACGCGAAAAAACGCCGACCGGAGGGAGGGAGGGATGCTGGGGAGCCTCCGGGACGCACCCAGATAATGGCGTTTCATTACATTCAACGCTGGTTTTCTGAGGGGAGCCCCGTCGTCTTCCCGGAACTAACTACCCATGGACGGAAAAAGAGGGACTTATCCGGGAGGCGGTCGTCGCCCACTCCTCAACTCGAAGCCGAGACAACTGGCTGCAACCGCCAACCCAAAGCAACACAGGCCCGACGGGGCCCAGGGACATTCACAAGGTAACGAGCAGCCAGGACCCTGTTCGACCGCCAAACTCCCCGCGCCCGAATATCAGACCAAGACATATTCCCAAAGACGGCAGCAAGAGCCGCAAACTTATGAACGTCATGGGCACGGGGATAGACCTCAGGCTGGCTGGACTTAATAACCCTGCGGACGACCTGGGAGACCCGAACCCACGAACAGGGAAGAAGGGAAACCGGATCAACCCACAGCGTGCCCCCGGACACAGAAGCCGTGGCGCGCAAATAACGGTGAAGCGCCGCAACGGACACAAAACATGATGCACCCCCAGCCTGACCAACCAAGCATCAACCACCCATGGATCCCTCCGGAACGCAGCAGTTTCATTCTTTGCCAGAAAAGAAGGAGACGGCTGCAAACAAACAAAACAATCACCATGACCAAAAGAGCAGAAACCCCTGCGCCGGAGGAGAGCATGAAGCTCCCCTACCCGACCCCCAGAGGCCAAAGCCAACAAGAAAAGTGCCTTGGAAAAACAATCCTGGACCGAAGGGGCCACAACGAAACGAGGAGACGAAAGGAAAGCGAGCACTCTGTCCAAAGACCAGGACGGCTCAGGCGACGCATGAGCAGGCCGGAGGTGAAACAATGCACGAGACAGCTTCCGAAACGGCGCAGACGTAACATCGATACCGAAAGCAAGCTGAAGCGGCTCCGCCAGTGCCGCACGATATGAGGCAACAGTGTTAGGCATAAGATGACGGTCCTGAAACAACCACGAGAGGAAGGACAAGACCACCTGAACAGACATGGAACTAACACGACGAAGACGCAAAAAGAAACAGAAGGACCGCCAGGAAACTTCATACTGCCGCCGAGAAGAAGCCCTCAGGTGGGACACCAACAAGGAGGCCACCTGATCACCATAGAGATGATGATAGACTCGAGTCAAAAAACCCATACGCGAAGACTCGAGGAGAAGATCGAACCAGCCACGTGACGTACCGGCCCGATCTGCTGAAAGAGGCGGAGCCGCGGGAAAACCCTCGGGTTCGGACACCGAGCAATCAGAGCCTGAAACCAAGGCTGGGCCGGCCACGAAGGGGCCAGAAGGACAACTCTCCCTGGTAAGTCTCTAAGCGAGTCAGGACCTGGAGCAACAGCCGAATTGGGGGAAAGAGGTACAGGAACCCCCACCTCGACCAGTCTAGCCGAAACGCATCGACCCCGACGGCCTCGCAATCGGGGAAGGGCGCCGCATAAACGGGAAGACGCCGCAACCACGCCGACGCGAAGAGGTCCACCTCGGGGCGCCCGAACATCTGGCAAAGCCAACAGAAGGACTCGTCGTCGACCGTCCACTCCGTGGAGATGGGAACGAAGCGAGACAGGGCGTCGGCCAAGACGTTGGACACGCCCTGTACATGAACCGCCAGGAGAGCCAAACCCCGAGAACTCAGCAGACGAGTAACCCGAAGCGACCAACCCCAAAGAGACAAGGACCGCATCGAACCCCCGTGGTTCAGGCAATGAACCACCGGAGAGCAGTCCGAATGGAGCCGAATCGTCGATCCGCGGGCCACCCGAATCCTCCCCAGAGCAAACCACACTGCCGCGAACTCCCGCACCGTGCTGTGAGCTCGACGGAAGGACAGATCCCAACGCCCCTGGCCGGCCTAGTGAGCACTGGTCACAAAACCCCAGCTGAGAGACGATGCATCCTTGTACACAAAATCGAGCGAGGGGCTCGGGTAGGCGCCAAGGCACTGAACCCCGAAAAAACCCGAAGAGGAAGCCGGTGACGCAGCAACCGACGCAAGGCCCCTGGGGGTCGAACTCTGCGATCACAAGAGAGGCGGAAGGGGGAACCCCGAAGGAACCAGAACAGCCATCGAAGCCGAACCTGAGACAGCGTTGTCATTCGAAAGGAGGGGCAATGAACCCAGTGGTTCAGACGGGACAAGTCCAGAATGAACCGCAGGTCCGCGCAGTCCCGTTTCGGAACCGGAAACAGACGGGAAACCCATCTGAGGATGACGTCGTTTCGACAACGCCCAAGCATACCCACTCCAAGACGACGCGACAGAGCGCAGGGGAAGAAACCTGCCCTGCCAGCCCCGACCCCCAAGGGAGGAGGGGGCCACCCAATGCCACCGCAGGCCGCGAGACACGACCCGAAAGGCCCATGAATCGTGGGACCAGGCGCGGGCGAACAGTGCAAGCTGCCCCCCATCGTCCCGTCAATGGGGCAAACCGTGAAAGGGCCGGCGACCCTTACGAGACCCAGAAACCCGTACAGTGCGAACACCGTGCCGACCAGACGAGGGAGGGTCCGCAGGAGGAGCCAAACCCGAACCTGACACCAGAGGCCTACCACGACGAGAGGAACCCTGAGCCCTGGCATGACCTTTCCGGGAAGACCAACCCCGGGATCCCGGAAAACCAACAAGTCCGACATCGGACGACAAGCCGCCGACGCAGCCTGAATAAACTGCGACACGGCCAACTCCTCAAACAGAAGAGGACAAAAAGGTGAAGAACGCCTAAGAGCCAGAGCCCAAGCAGATTCCACGGAGGAACCCAGCACCGTCTGCCGACACGCGAGACAGGAAGCATAAAACAGGGAAACCGCATCCCGCAAAATCGGCGTGAACAGCTTCAACAAGGCAACCGACAAACCTGCAGCCGAGGACAAGGTGCCGGACCCCGGGACGAACCCAAGCGTCTTCACATCCTCCACGAGCCAATCCGAAGACAGCTCCAGGAGGGAAAAGAATCGCAAGGCCGAAGCCAAAAGGCCCCGGGCGCGCAAGTCCTCCGCAACGAGTGCCGCCGAAAGGGTGGGAACCTGCACATGGAGCTGAATAACGCCCACATCGCAGGGAAGGGCAGGGGCAAACAAGCACTCATTCAAGTACTCTAGCTCGCCCCCCAGGAAAACCTGAAGCACCGTGGAAGCTTCCCGCCACTCCAGCATGCGGGACCGACAGAAGGAATGCCAGGAATCCAGAACAAACAAGGGGCAGTCTGCTAGCCAGGAGGACTCCGGAACCTCGTAACGGAGCCAGAAAGGGAACGAAGTCCCAAACCTGAATTCGGACGGATCCATTTCCGAGGCATAATCCGGGTCACACAGGAGGTAAGCTGCAAAGGCTGCTCGCACCACACCAGGTTGGATGCGATAAGCCGAAAACCTCCGGAAGGACGGAACCGACGTACCCGGGGGAACACGGAACCGAACCCGGGGAGGGGCCGACACCAAATCCAACTCGTACGCAGAGGGGGGGAAAA